GCATCTAGTGAGCGCCCGTGGCGTGCAGCCCCGTGCCCGGTGACGGGCATCTAGTGAGCGCCCGTGGTGTGCAGCCGTGCCCCAGCATAGGAGTGCAGTGGTGGACGTCCACCCCATCACTGGGTGTTGGTGGCAACTCAAGCCTGCCTTGGATTCCCCAGATGTGAGATGGGGAAGTCACAGAAACACGAGTTCATGGGCTGGACTACACCATGGGGTGGAGCTGCCTGTCCCTGTCCTGGGCAAAGTGGCCTGTCCTCCCTCTTATCCCCCCACCCCAATGGGAGCCCAGAAGGACAGGGCCTGCAGGGCGGGAAGGCTCCCAGCCCCCCCAGCCTCTCCACTCTGGGCCGTGGCTCTAAGCAGTATCTCCACTCCAGGGGCCCACGGTGGACAGTGACACCTCCAAGGCCTACAGTGGAGGGGGCCTCCTCTCCTTGAGGAGGAGGCAGAGCTGAAGGGCTGAGAGCTGCCGGGATAGAACGAGCCTGTGCGGAAAGACGTTCCTGGGGCAAGGTGAGCTCAGCAGGGAGAAGGAAACCTGTGTGAGCCCGGGGCCAGCAGCACGGGGCACCACCCTCATGGCAGACGCTGCAGAAACAGGCCTGGGTCAGGGGCCCTCGGGACGGTGCCGTGGCACAGATGGAGCTCGTGTGTGTGCTGAGGCGAGTGTCACCGTCTTTCCTCAGCCTCTGGTTCCTCAGCTGTAAATTCCGGCCCAGGCCTGCCATGCACAGTCCATCTATTTTTTTTTCTTTTTTTTTTTTAAGATGGGGTTTCACCATGATGGGCAGGCTGGTCTTGAACTCCTGACCTCAGGTGATCCATCCACCTCGGCCTCCCAAAGTGCTAGGATTCCAGGCGTGAGCCACCGTGCCCGGCACAGTTCATCTATTTTATTAAAATTTTTATTTTTTATTTTTTTGAGACAGAGTTTCGCTCTTGTTACCCAGGCTGGAGTGCAATGGCGTGATCTCGGCTCACCGCAACCTCCGCCTCCTGGGTTCAGGCAATTCTCCTGCCTCAGCCTCCTGAGTAGCTGGGACTACAGGCACGCGCCACCATGCCCAGCTCATTTTTTGTATTTTTAGTAGAGACGGGGTTTCACCATGTTGACCAGGATGGTCTCGATCTCTTGACCTCGTGATCCACCTGCCTCGGCCTCCCAAAGTGCTGGGATTACAGGCGTCAGCCACCGCGCCTGGCTATTAAAAAATTTGTTTTGAGACAGGGTCTCATTCCGTCACCCGGGCTGCTGTGCAGTGGTGTGATCTCAGCCCGCTGCAGCCTGGACCTCCTGGGCTCAAGCGATCCCCCCACCTCAGCCTCCCGAGAAGCCCGGCTCACAGCACACGCCGCTCCACCTGGCTCACTTAGTATTCATCGAGTTGAACAGCAGATTTTCCAGGCTGGCTCTGTGCCTGCCCTGGCCTGATTTTGCCTTCCTGGTCTTAAACTGCTTTTCACTCAGAAGGCCCCATGATTGTGTAAGCTCCCAGGGCTTCCGAGCTGGACCTGTCCTGACCAAGTAGGAAATGTAGGTCCCAGGTTGGTAAATCCGGTCATCAAGCCTGAGAGAGGCTGCAGGGGTGGGGAGGCGGGGCAGACCCCGAGGAGGGAACGGCTGGAGGTTCAGGCAGGAGGGGCCCGGGTGTCCCGGGCCAGTGACCCAGGCACGCAAAGGCCAGAGACGGGCTGGGGCGGGGGTGCAAACTGCAGGAGGGACCAGGGCTTGCTTTTTCTTTTTTTTTTTTTTTTTCTTTGAGACAGAGTTTTGCTCTTATTGCCCAGGCTGGAGTGCAGTGGTGAGATCTCGGCCCACTGCAACTTCTGACTCCCGGGCTCAAGTGATTCTCCTGCCTCAGCCTCCTGAGTAGCTGGGATTTCAGGCCCCTGCCACCACGCCCGGCTATTTTTGTATTTTAAGTAGAGAAGGGGTTTCTCCATGTTGGTCAGGCTGGTCTCAAAGTCTCGACCTCAGGTGATCCGCCCACCTCTGCCTCCCAGAGTGCTGGGATTACAAGCGTGAGCCACCGCGCCCGGTCAGTGGGGTTTCTTCCAAAGGCACTGGGAGTCGTGGGTGGCTTTGGGCCACAGACCAATGTGACTGACTGAGGAGCCAGGCCCTGGGTCTCCATCTCCCTGCACAAGCCTGGCGTGGTCAGGGCCTTTGCACAGGCTATGCCGCCTGCCCACAGCACGCTTCCTGCAGCTTCCTGGGATACCGCAGCCCCCTCCTCCAGGCCTTCCCCCAGCACCTCACCCTCTCCCTGCTCCAGTGTTTCCCCCCGCCTTCTGGACAGTATCTGACTTGCTATACTCATAAGGTTGACTCTGATGGCCGGCTTCCCTCCTGCCTGGCTCTCCGAGTCAGCCGCACTCTGAATGCTCAGCCCCTGGAGCAGGTGTTTATTTTTCCTTTTTGAGACGGAGTCTTGCTGTGTTGCCCAGGCTGGAGTGCAGTGGTGCAATCTTGACTCACTGCAACCTCTGCATGCTGGGTTCAAGCAGTTCTCCTGCTTCACCTCCTGAGTAGCTGGGATCACAGGCACACGCCACCACACGCAGCTAATTCTGTATTTTTAGTAGAGACGGGGGTTTCTCCATGTTGGTCAGGCAGGTCTCAAACTCCCGATCTCAGGTGATCTGCCCTCCTCGGCCTCCCAAAGTGCTGGGATTACAGGGGTGAGCCGTGGAGCCCAGCCCCAGCCAAGTATTTTTTAAATAAATGGATAGGCCGGATGCAGTGGCTCAGAACCCTAATTGCAGCACGTGAGGAGGCCAAGGCAGGAGGATCACTTGAGCCCGGGACGTCAAGACCAGCCTGGGCAGCATAATGAGACCCCATCTCTGTAAATATGTATTATGTGTATTTTTTCTGAGATGGAGTCTTGCTCTGTTGCCAGAACTGGAGAGCAATGGCATGCTCTCAGCTCACCGCAACCTCCACCTCTGGGTTCAGGCAGTTTTCCTGCATAGACTCCTAAGTGCTGGGTTACAGGCGTGCACCACCACGCCTGGCTAATTTTTGTATTTTTAATAGAGACGAGGATTCACCATGTTGGCCAGACTGCTCTCGATCTTTAAATATTTTTAAAAATTGAAATAAGCATGGCCAGGCGCGGTGGCTCACACCTGTAATCCCAGCACTTTGGGAGGCCAAGGCGGGTGGGTCACCTGAAGTCAGGAGTTTGAGACCAGCCTGGCCAACATGGCAAAACCCTGTCTCTACTAAAAATAAAGAAAATTAGGCAGATGTGATGGCGCACACCTGTAATCCTAGCTACTCGGTAGGCTGAGGCAGGAGAACTGCTTTAACCCAGGAGGGGGAGGTTGCAGTGAGCCAAGGTCACTTCACTGCACTCCAGCCTGGGTGTCAGAGTGAGACTCCATCTTCAAAATAAATAAATAATAAACATAAATGCAGAGTACTCCGGCCTGGGCAGGGGATCAGAGTGAGCGTGCTGAGGCCAGGGAGGGTCCCTGTGCTCGCCGGCAGGTGCTGGCCTGGGTGAGGCTGTGGGTTGGAGAGGAGTCACCAGGATCTGGTGACAAGGACCATGAGCCAGCCTCCCTTGTGACTTGCACGTACCGCCGGCTCCTGGGGGAGGCGTTGTCTTTCTGCTTCTGGCACTGCCAGGCCCGGGGGTGGGGGGGTTCTCAGGCTGTGCGGGTCCCGCCTCCTCCCTGCTCCCAGCCGAGTCCCGGGGCTCTGGCGACCTGCCCAGCCTAACATCTTCCCAGGGTGAACATAAAAGATCCCACTTCAGCTGGAGCACGCATCTGCCTCTGGGCGGGCCACAGCCTGGCACTGCCAACCGTGCTGCCCGCCCAGCCTCTCCCGCGCCGCCTCAGGACAGACAGCTGTCCCGCCCGCCTGCTCAGAGAGGCCGGCCGGGCCGGTGTGAGGGCGAAGGGGTCCCCAGGGTGTGGGGCAGCCTGGCCGGGGCACGAGACAGTCAGGCTCAGCCCATCCGCTGTGAGCTGGGCACATGCTGGTCCTCCCTCAAGCACCACTGAGTTTCTCCCGTGTGCAGGAAGGGGGCTGCGTCTGTCCCAGTGGCACAGAGGTGCAGGTGGGTGGGGGCCACACAGGACATCGTGGCCGATAGGACATCAGGCCAGGTGCCGAGAGGGTCTCAGGAGGGCCTCCGGGTGGGGGTCAGCTCCCACTTCTTTGTGTGTCTCTGTCTCTCTCCTCTCGTTTGCCAACTTCCTCACCTGCCCTCTCCCGGCTGTCTGGTGGGCTGAGTGGCTGGGGACAGAGGCCCCACGTCGCCTGGCACCAGGCCGCCCCCACACCCAGCAGGGCTGTGGCCCAGAAGCAGAGCTTGGGAAAGCTCCTTTCTCAGAGCTGGGGACTAGGAACTGGGGTCACAGCTGCGCCGGAGCCCGAGGACTCCGGGAAGGAGCCAGCCCCGGGGCAGGGGGCTCCAGGTCTCCCTGTGACCCCAATGTAAAGCCCCCCAAGACCTAGAGGAAACCCCCCGCGCTGCTCCCCAGGCACTGTTGAGGGCTGGGTGGGAGCCCCCCACGCGCCGTAGCTCTTCCAGTTTTCCTTGTCAGCCTGGGCTTGGCCTCAGTTTCCTCAAATGCAGACCAGGGCCAGGAGTGTCCGAGATCCGCAGACCGACCCCCGAGCCCGCCTGCCCCTCCCCACGCGCCCGAGGGTCTCGGTCCAGGGCCCGCGGGCGACCAAGCAAAAGCTCTTTTATTGGGGAATCTTCGATCCTGCAGAGCGCGGGGTGGCGCCGGCCGCGGCCCCACTCTCCAGGCCCGCGTCACGCTCCTCCGGACAGAAGCGGAAACCGCGGCGCGGGAGCGGCGGCCCCAGCCGGGCAGCCGGGCTGGGTGACCTTGGGCGCGTCCTTCCGCTCGGCGGGCCTCAGTTTCCCCTCCTGGAGAGAGGCCTGCGCGGGGCTCTGAGGCCGCAGGCCGCGTGACCTTGGGGCGCCCCCGACCCGGCGGCCCCAGTTTCCCGGCGCGGGGCGGAGGCGGCGCGCGGACGGGCGAGGGGCGCAGCGGAGGCGGGGTTCCCGCCCCCGCCCCTCCCCCGCGCAAGGCTCCGCCCCCCGCGGCTCCGCCCCGCCCCGCCCCCGCCTCCCCCCTCCCTCGGGCTCCGGCCGGCGGCGGCGGCGGCGGCTCCGCTCCGCACTGCCCGGCGCCGCCTCGCCATGGACGCGCGCGGGGGCGGCGGGCGGCCCGGGGAGAGCCCAGGCGCGACCCCCGCGCCGGGGCCGCCGCCGCCGCCGCCGCCGCCGCCGCCGCCCGCGCCCCCCCAGCCGCAGCCGCCGCCGCCGCCGCCCGCACCCCCCCCGGGCCCCGGGCCCGCGCCCCCCCAGCAGCCGCCCCCGCCCGAGGCGGCGGCCCCGGAGGCGGCGGCGGGGACGGACGAGGGCGGCCCGCGGGCCCGGCTCCGCAGCCGCGACAGCTCGTGCGGCCGCCCCGGAACCCCGGGCGCGACGAGCGCCGCCAAGGGCAGCCCGAATGGCGAGTGCGGGCGCGGCGAGCCGCAGTGCAGCCCCGCGGGGCCCGAGGGCCCGGCGCGGGGGCCCAAGGTGTCGTTCTCGTGCCGCGGGGCGGCCTCGGGGCCCGCGCCGGGGCCGGGGCCGGCGGAGGAGGCGGGCGGCGAGGAGGCGGGCCCGGCGGGGGAGCCGCGCGGCAGCCAGGCCAGCTTCATGCAGCGCCAGTTCGGCGCGCTCCTGCAGCCCGGCGTCAACAAGTTCTCGCTGCGGATGTTCGGCAGCCAGAAGGCCGTGGAGCGCGAGCAGGAGCGCGTCAAGTCGGCGGGGGCCTGGATCATCCACCCGTACAGCGACTTCAGGTGCCGCCTCCGGGGGAGGGCGCGGGAGGGCGCGGGGCGCGGGGCGCGGGGGCCGTCCTTGGAGCACCGGGGGAGGGCGGGGCGGCGCGCGCGGCGGGTGACCTCGGAGCTTCTCGGTGACCTCGGGCGTGCCGGGGACCCGCCCCGGAGTGACCCGGGGGCGCGAGCTCCGCCTCTGGGGGGGGCTCCGGGGCGACCTCGGGGCGCCCCTTCCCACGGACCCCGACATCCTCCGCCGTGCGGCGCGGCGGGCGGGGTGGGCGCGCGTCGCGGGCCGCGGAGCCGGGGTCTGAGCGCCGAGGGGCGGAGAGGACGAATAGAGGGGAACGTGGGCCCCGGAGGGCGGCGGAGCGGGAGGGAGGAAGAAGAAGAGCGCCCGGGAAGGACGCGCCCTGGGGAGGCCGGGGGAGAGGGGGTTAAGCGGCTCCCACGGCGTCCACCTGCGCCCCGCCTGCAAGGAGGCGCGCCCGGGCCTGGAAAGCGTGCGGGTCCCCACGCTGTGTCTCCCGGAGCCGCTCGGCCCGGGCTGTGCACCCATGTGGCGGTGGGTGTGTAGACGCCGCTGTAGGTTCAGCCGGTTGATGGGTGGAGGGCGCGTAGCGGGGCCGGCGCGGGGCCACCGCCACCCGTGTTTGCGGTCCCGGTTCCCGGGCTGTGCGTGCGGTGGCCGGAGAGTGAGAGCGGCGTGTGTCCCCGTGGGCTGTGTGCGAACAGGGGCGCGTGACGGCGGCGGGGTTCCCGGGGCGCGAGCCTGTGGCTGGGGAGGGAGGTGTGTCTCCAGGGGTGTGTCTGCGTGGTGGTCGCGCGCGCGTGCCCCTGGGGGCGTTTGTGTTGGGTGTTGGGACGACGTGGCGTCCGCGTGTGCGCCCGGGGCCGCTGTGCGCCGGTGGGCAGGAGCGTGAGCCGTGGGCAGGTGTCACGCGCGCGGCCGTGGAAGGCTGCGTGTGTGTCTGTGCGTCCACGAGTGCGGTGTGAGGTGGGGTGTGCAGGGGGGCCGGCCGGGATGGCAAGGCCGGGCGCGCGGGGCGGGCGCGGTTTCAGCACCACGGACAGCGCACAGGGCCCGGGAGGGCTGCGCTTTTCCCGCCGGTCGCTCCTCCTCCAGGCCTGGGCACCCCAGGGCGTCCCCCATGGTGGACCCCTAGAGCTTGGCAGGGAGGCTGTCGGGATCTCTCTTCCCCTGGCCTTTCCGCACCCCTAGTGACTGGCTGGGGAAACTGAGGCCTAGGGCACACGAGTCCTGGACAGGGCCTGGACGAAGGCCCTGGGATCCGCCTCCGAACCCTGAGGCCTTCCTGAGAGGCGAATACAGCTTTGACCAGAAGCCTGGATTTCAAGACAGGCCAGGGGTGGGAGGAGCCCTGAAACCCCCAGAGGGACCTTGTCCGGCCCCTCCCACCCTGCCTTTGGCCCCGCTGGGAGAGCTTGGTCAGCGTCTGGGCTCTGGCCTGCAAAACAAGGACAGTGAGCCGGAAGGACGGGACTTCCAGAGCTGCTGGTTGGCCTGGCCCCACTGCAAATCCCGCTCAGCACCCATTGACCAGAGGGCTGCGGTGGGGAGGGAGCTGCGGAAAGTGCCCACTCCCCTTCATCCCCTCCAGCATGACCTGCAGCGGTGGGTGCTGGCAGGTGGAGGCCCACACCAGCGACACCCTGGCTGCAGAGGGGTGGTCGGTGGGCTGGGGGCAGGTGGGCTGATCCTGGGGCTTCGGGGGAAGGCTGGTAGGAGGAGTGAAGCCCCCCATCCTTACATCTACCTTGAGTGAGGTCACCTGGAGGCCTGGGCAGGCTGTGGCCCCCCTCTGTGCTCTGAGGTATGCAGGGTTCACGGGCCCCTGTGTGGGCCAAGGGAGCCCCACCGGGGCAGATGAGTGGTGAAGGGGAACCACGTAGGCAGGGAAGGGGGTTAGCGGGGCCAGTCTTCAGGACTAGGGGAGTTACGGCATTTTAAAATCAGATTTATAAAAGGATTTAGACATTGTCAAGCTGGAGTGCACGGGGCCCCACCCCCCCCATAGCTCAGGACTCATGTCCTCAATCACTGTGGAAAATGACCCCAAGAATATCTCAAAAGCAAGGTTCCCTAAGCCCGCGCTGGGCCAGCGGCTGTTGGAAGCATCTCTGAGGATTAATAATATGAATTATTGTAGTGGTGAGGCCGGCGCTAACCCATTTTACCCAGGAGGATAGAGAGACGCAGGATGTCAGGTTGCTCGGGCGGATCTGGGTTTCCCTCTGGGCAGCCCAGCCCGGTGTTCACGCTCTTAACCGCCAGGCGGCCAGCCTCTGCCTAGGTCCCATCCAGGCCAAAGAGAGGAGGAAGGCACTCTGGGGGCACCTAGGGGTGGGTGGTGGGTGATATTTGTGTGAATATTAATTTTTCATTTGTGTTTTGAGACGGAGCCTTGCTGTGTGGCCCAGGCTGGAGTGCAATGGTGTGATCTCTGCGCACTGCAACCGCCACCTCCCGGGTTCAGGGGATTCTCCCACCTCAGCCTACCAAGTAGCTGGGATTAGTAGGTGGCACCGGCCACCACACGCGGCTGCTTTTTGTATTTTTAGTAGAGATGGGGTTTCACCATGTTGGCCAGGCTGGTCTCAAACTCCTGACCTGAAGTGATCCACCCACCTCGGTCCGAAAGTGCTTGGGATCACAGGCGTGGGCCATCACGCCCGGCCTGAGAATATTAATTTTGTGAAAACAGAGTTGGGGGGGTCCTTTCCGTTTCTGCCTTTTCACATTCGCCCTTTTAACTCACAGTCTGGTGGTACAGAAACCGTCCCTGATCAGGCACCACGGGAGGCTTAAGAGGGAGAAGGGGGGCAGCTCCGGCCCCCGTCCCCGGGTCCCCGTGCAGAGGCCAGCATCGCCCCTCCCTTGTGGGAAACTGGCCCGTGTCTGCCTGGCACCAGGAAGGGAAGCATTAGGCTTTGCTGAACCGGAACCGCCCCCACTCGGCTGGGCTGAGGAGGTGGGGGAATGCCGGGGAGCCCTGGCCGGAGGAGGCGTTTGAGGTGGCGGGGTGGGGGGAGATGTGTGTGGTGGGGGTGATCGGTGGTGGGAGGGTGTGCAGAAAGGCAGCTGGGCTGAGGGAAGAGCCGGGTGGGGCTGGGCCAGGAGGAGCATCGGAGCGTCCAGGGCGGGACCCTGCTGTGGAGGGTGTTTTTGGTGGCAGCCGCAGATTGAGTAGTGGGACCCCAGCTGGCTTCAGTACTAAGGCCCCCTATGACTGGCCAGGTGTCTTGGGCCCTCCCTGGGCCCCTCTGCCTCGGCACCCCCAAATGCAAGGTGGGGGTGCTCTGAGGGAGAAGGGGCGAGGGTCTTTCACAGTCTTGGCAGTGTCTCGTGGCCTTACGTCTCACACTGTCCCCGCCTCCCCTTCCTGCTGAGGGAGTGCTGGGCTCCTTGCCCAGGCCGGGCCCCCCAGGCACGTCCTCACCCCGGCCCTGTGGTCTTTGCCACGCCCAAGGCCGCCCTGCTCCTGTGCTCAGAAGTGGCCTCTTTCACACCTCAGGTCATAGCTGCGGTATACAGCTGGTGCCGCATATTTGCTGCATTTGCTGAGGGGCGGAGCATGGGTCCTGGATCTTGGCGCTCAGTCCTGGACAGCTGGCCCCTTTAGAAGGGCAGTTGGTGCAGGCGTGGCGGCTGAGGCCTGCCATCCCAGCACTTTGGGAGGCCGAGGCGGGCAGATCACCCGAGGTCAGGAGTTCCAGACCAGCCTGGCCAACACGGTGAAACCCCGTCTCTACTAAAAGTACAAAACTTAGCCGGGCGTTGTGGCAGGTGCCTGTTAATTCCAGCTACTCGGGAGGCTGGGGAAGGAGAATCACCTGAACCCGGAGGCGCAGGCTGCAGTGAGCTGAGATTGTGCCCCTGCACTCCAGCCTGGGTGACAGAGCGAGACTCCATCTCGAAAGAAAGTGCAGATGGTTCATTCGTCTGGGGCTGCGGGTGGCTCCAGACCCCGGCTGACGTCCGCGGTCCCCAGAGGCATCCCCGGCACTTCCCTGGGGTGTTGCTGGAAAAGCAGGTTCAAGGACACAAGTTCAAGGTTTCGGCTTCAGAAGGTTTGAGTTTCCTTCTTTGTAGGTGACTGTGGTTCGTGCCTGAATTGGAACAGGCGTGAAAACCAAGGAAGGAAGGGGTTTGGCCTCGTGGAATCCCCAGGGCCGCGCCTCCCAGAGCAAAATTAGTTTAAAAATAAGCATCGTTCGGCTGGGGGCAGTGGCTGACGCCTGTAATCCCAGCTACTCGGGAGGCTGAGGCAGGAGAATCGCTTGAACCGGGAGATGGAGGCTGCAGTGCGCCGAGATGGCGCCACTGTATACACCCCAACCTGGGCAACATTGTGAGACTCCATCTCAAAACATAGTGCAGTTCATTCTTCCTCCTGTCATCCCAAGTGCCCCTGGTTCTACAGACCATACAGGTTCCCCCCCCGGAAAGCCTGAGTTTTACAAAGGAGGGTGTTTCTGCAGGAGAGGGGCTGGGGCTCAGGGGGACACGGAGACCCAGGGAGGGACAGTCCGAGGGGTTCGCGTTCTCTCCTCGGCTTTCTCTCGTCCACCCGCTGCTGCCAGGGTCACGAGGGGGGCGGAGGGGGGTGCTGCACAGGCCTGGCGGGGCGGAGACCTGGGCAGATCCGGGGTTTGTCTCTGGGGAGCACAGGGCGGGTGATGGGTGGGGAGGGGCTGGCGGCTTCCCGACTGCCCTCCCTCCAGCTCCAGGGCTGAGTGCCCAGAGGTCGACCTGCAGCCTCTTCTGCTGCTGCGGATTTTCAGGTCTGTGCTCCTGAACTGTCTTCATCTGGGGAGGACCCTTGAATGAGGGGAGACAGAGGAGACGGTCCCCAAAGCCGGGATCTGTTATGTCCTCGAAGAGACTGGTCGGGGAGGGGCTGCTCCAAGACCCCCCAGGACAGGAGGCCCTGGGGCCCCGCCTCAGATGGCTGAGCGGATCAGCCTGGGGGTGCAGCTCTGCAAATCCGTGGTGATGA